AAGTACGAGACCAATTCATCCATCGCCCACTCAATTATTATTTGTTTTTGCACCAGTCTTATGAGAATAAAGGGAAGTACCGGTACATCATGTTCAATAGAAAAACAGAAGTGTGACCGAATCCATTTTGGTTCCTGAATTGTATACAGATACTGTAAATAAAAACAGAAATTCACAGCAAGAGGAAATGTATGCAACTCTTTGTTTCTTAAGATTGCACCAACTGAGAAGGAAAGAAACCTCCGTCTTATGGTTTATAGATAAGAAGTTTAAAATCAAAGGAGCACAGTATAGCTGCAATCAAAGCACTATAAAACTCTGGGTTTGGTTAGAGGCATAACTGAACATCTACATTTAAAAAGAAAATGTGTGACATTAATAACTGAGTTCATGATGTCAATGTTATTAAAAATTTATACTATCCTTCTTACTGATTTCCAAATACTACCTCCTTGATATTTTTATCTTCTCATATTTGCTTAGTTGTAATCCAAATTAAGGGATTAACTAGCTCTTCTACAAAAACAGTATATGTTTAATAGTAACATGTAAATAATGCCCCAAAATAACTGCTTCACTGAATATCCCAAAAAACACTTACATTTTTACTTTAAAAAGTTATTAAAATGTTTACAAGCACTATAATTTTACTAAAAACCATAAACACTTGTTACCATTGAAATCACTTGCTGCTCAACTGTCTTACCTTAGGTATGTGCCATATATGAAGAACAATGACATCATTAGTCCATTTAAAAGAAAGATCACAGCAACATAAAAGGAAGCAGGGTCTCCCAATCCTAACAAACAGCAATTAACATACAGATATTGACAAAAATATACTAATAGGACAGATTTTAAATATGTATCTATTCTAGCAACAAAAAGTCAGAATAACGTGTTATATAGCATGTTACCTTACTACATGTAAATAGAGAAAAATAATTTATTTTTTGATATCTCCAAGCTAACTGAGGGAGTAGGTAAGAGGACTGCACCACCAGAAAATGTGCATCAGATATGCATCCGAAGAAGTGGGTTGTAGCCCACGAAAGCTTATGCTCTAATAAATTTGTTAGTCTCTAAGGTGCCACAAGTACTCCTGTTCTTTTTGCGGATACAGACTAACACGGCTGCTACTCTGAAACCAGAAAATGTGTGAATCAGATGCAGTCTCAAGGCATTCAAAAACAAAAACAAGAAGTCCCACAATAAAGTCAATTTAAAGAACCATGTTCAATACATAAAGGCTGGCAAGGAAAAGATGACACCCGCAGACATTATTCCCTACATGCTGAAAACCTAGGAGGGAATTTCTTCAAAACTGAGGATGAATTGGCTGGCATGTATGGAAGCCCTGATAAGTATCAATATATTGCCTCTTAAAGAAATCAGGAGAATAATTCAAAATATCTTGCTTTTGATTAAGTTAGATAAAAAGTGAATTGTTCTGACTCTGAATGGAGTCATTATTTATTGGGGTAGCTTAAGAATAATGAAGTATTAAAACAGTTACAGCAGAAGTGAATTAGGATTCTCTTAATAGAGGGCAGTTCATACATGCACAAACCCCACAATATACAGTTACAATTCAAACTAATCCATTAACTTTTTATTCCATTATCAGTAGTTTTAACCTTTACATTTATTTTAAAAACAAAGGATATACCTCTTAAGGTAAAACTGGATTTAAAGTCTGTTCCATAAAAGTTTTTAAAGATTTTTTTTAATTAAATGTGAATCTTATTTATACAACTCAGTTAAATTATAGCATATTTCTAAATTTCAAGAGACAAAATGAAAAGGTTGTTTTACAAGACACCTTTTGTACGTAAGGTATTATAAAAAGCTTTATCACACATTATCAAGCACATTCCTCCACATATGAAATAGCAGTTGGTCATGCCTGAGCTCTGGGAACTAAAGATCAGATACAAGATCCTCACATCCATTCCAGCCCATTTAAACTGGGTGAAAGATCCAGATTACCCCAGGAGAGGATTCCCCCAGTGCAATCACTATGGAAGACACTATGGAAGGCTGCCTTCTGAAACTCCCTCACAAGCTCTGGTGTATGGGACATGTAGAGGGCAGGGCCGCAGCACTGCAGATATTTGAGTAGCACTGTCACCCAGACGGCAGTCCAGCAAGGCTGCTTAACTTATACAGCCCCGAGAGCTTGTCCAAATTATGCCAGTGGCCACTGTGGCCTTCAGAGTAACCCAGAATTGGAAGGGCTCAAAGATGGCTTAAAACCAATTTAGGCTTACCTCCACTAGAACAATTGCTTGAGTTTGTACACTTGATTTACTGCACTCAAGCTAGCCTAGCTCAAGTGAGACAGACCGAAATGCAAAACACTTCACTTACACAGTCTAATTTGGATAGCAGCTGAGGAATTACAATTCGAGCTGCTGCATGCCCAGTACATTACCAACTCCCGTGTCCGCAGCATTGCGGCTTCAACTCATCCTCCTCAACAGGCCCATTAGCTCAAGCTAGACATTTTTGCACATGGACGAGAGTTGGGTTAGAGGCAAAACTCAAGTTATAGCTCAAGCTAGTGCTGCAGTGAAGACAAGCCCCTAGTCCTCACCACCTGGGATGCAAATTCTGTGCTATACCTCTACGGGGCATCGCACAAAATCCCATCTTTTCCATGTTTTTCATACACTATGTTGCAAAATTCACTAAAACACAGGCTTAACTAAATGAAAATGAGCCAGTGATGAACACACATTAACATTACTGTTTCCAAAATACATGCAAAAACCACAAGAATACACTAGGGAAAAAAACTTGCCTTCACAGCTTTCAACAGGACTAAGCCTTTCTCCTCTGTTTACAGTCCAGCATGTCTTGGTCTGAAGACCAATAAAATCCATTACCCCTGTGTATATGCGGTACCAGCTGGCTAGGACCACCTGTGTAGAAAATAGGATTTGAAGTTTCTAAGTAGGAACTTAGATTTAGAGATTATCTCAATACCTAAGGCAGCCTTTCAAACAGACAGGATCTAGAAAATGCCGTGAAAGTGTTTCCAAGGCTCTATATTTTTAATTTCTACAAAACTAAGCATTTTGGAGATGATTCACTTTGAATACCCAGCATAGCTCTATTGCTCAGCATTAGTGTTAACACTATACCTGCTTATCAGAAGTCTATATACTCATCAACGTAAGGCAGTGGTTCTCAACTTTTCCAGACTACTGTACCCCTTTCAGGAGTCTGATTTGTCTTGCATACCCCCAAGTTTCACCTCAATTAGAAATACTTGCTTACAAAATCAGACATAAAAATACACAAGTGTCACAGCACACTATTGCTGAATAACTGCTTACTTTCTCATTTGTACCATAACACTATAAAAACCAATTGGAATATAAATACTGTACTTACATTTCAGTGCACAGTATATATAGCAGTATAAACAAGTCATTGTCTGTATGACATTTTAGTTTATACTGACTTCGCTGGTGCTTTCTATGTAGCCTGTACTAAAAGTAGGCAAAGATCTAGATGACTTGATGTACCCCCTGGAAGACCTTTGCATACCCCCAGGGGTACACATACCTCTGGTTGAGAACCACTGTATTCAGAACCATGTAGGAATTGATATATTTGAACATTTTATGGAAGGAACTCTATGGGCCAACTTTGCATAGCTGATGTGTCTCAGGTGGTCCCAAATTTTGCCCACAAAGTTGGGAAAACATGCATAGAACGAGCTGTCAAACAACAAAGTATCCAAATACCCTACTCACGCCCCTCTAATATAAGATTGAATTCATCTGACCAGGACACCTCTAGATATCTGACACAGATAGATGGTTAACATGAAACTGAGACATCTCTTTAGGGAAAATAATCACACAGACATTAAGAATTGCATAATGTTCTTTATGGATCACTAAGTAAGAAGGAGAACACAATAAGGCTACCTCTTGGCATGGCCAGAATAATAGTAATAGTAATGGACAAATCCTGAGTTCCGTATTCAGTTTTTACTCTCTTCTTATTCAGGCTAATTCCTATAGAGAGAATTGGAATTCATCTGATTAAGGAGCTCAGAATTTGCCATAATACCACACTTCCATAGTGCTGCCTTCCATTCGAAGATCTTAATGCATTTTACAACCAAGAATGAATTAAGCCTCAACACTCCTGAGAGATAGGAAATAGTATTATCCCCATTTTATAGATAGAAAATCTAAGGCACAAAAGTCAAGGCAAGATAGAATGTCTGGCTGAACTGAGAATAGAACCTAGGCTATTCATCACTGAGAGCTGTGCTTTAATCACAAGTGACCATTAATCATCCAATTGCCATCACAAAGAACATCTAAACTGACTAGAGGAAAAGCAAATTCTGAAGTTCAAGAATGTCAGGCACACTCATAATTAAAGTTCCAAGCAATGAGAACTGTGACCTAACATAAGAGATAGTTCGAAGAAAGTTGCACTTCAGGGATGAATCCTGGCCCCACTGAAGTCAAGGGGAGTTCTGCCATTGATTTTAGAGGAGATAGGATTTCAGCACAGGTTCCCCTTTTGTATCTCTTTTGTATGCACCAGAAGAAACAAATCAACTTAAATTCTTAAAAAGCACGTTTCCCTTTTTCAGCCCTCCTTGCAGAAACCTGAGCCTTGTGGGGATAAGATTCCTTAGCTACAAACTCTAATGTCGCTCAAAGGACTAAATGGTCGACCAGACCTTAAAGAGCCACTGATACACTTTTATCATGAAGTGAGTTATCAGCTAATGTTACTGAGTGCCGCTGCACACTCAATAAATACTACAGAGGAGATTCTCAAACACCCTTGGTGAGGTAAGTATCTTAGTTAGGCTCCTTTGAAAATTTTGTCTGACATACCCTGCTGTTTCATCAATACAAGAAATTCTAAGTGACCTTTATCAGGAATAAACTCTTGAGTCCATTCAAGGGCTACACTAGTTTTAAATATTATACACAGCTACTCATGTATCTGGTACTAAACACTAACAATATTCTTGTCAAAGGCTTCCTTAGATAACATGGCTAATCATTAAGGCTATGTTTTAGACACTGGTATTTTTAGTAAAAGTCACGGACAGGTAACGGGCAGTAAACAAAAATTCATGGCCCATGACCTGTCCATGACTTTTACTATATACCCCCGACTAAAACTTGGGGGCGGGGGCTGCCCGGGGGCGCCGCGGGGGCTGGGGGAGGGCAGCCCAGGTGCTGGGGGGGGGGGGCAGGCGGTGGCACGTGGCCCGGGACCCCCGCTGGTGCTGGAGCGGGCAGTGGTGCTCGGCCCGGGACCCCCACTGGTGCTGGGGGGGGTGGGCAGGCGGTGGTGCTCAGCCTGGGACCTCCACTGGTGCTGGGAGTGGGGGAGCTGGCGGAGTCTGCAAGCTCCCTACCTGGCTCCATGCTCTCCTCCCCGCCCCAGAAGATCAGAATCTAATCTAATCTCCTGCATACCACCGGCCAAAAATCCTCACTCAGTGATCTCTGAATCAAACCAGTAAAAAATTGTTATTTACTCTACAGTAACTGTAGTCCTTCGAAATATGTTGTTCACATGCACACAAGCTGCTCATCAACAGTGCCTCCTAAACGGTTTCTTAAAGAAACTGTTGGTGATGTGAAAGAAACAGGTTACCCTGAGGTTAAGCAGCATCACCAACCTGCCAGTCTTCAGTAGAGGGAAGAAAAACAAGAAAGCAAGGGAAGAATGAAAACAGATTGCAACTGAAGAGTGGAAAATTAAGGTGTGAAAAATGTCTACAGTTTGATTGACTGATACCTGCTTGAAATCAGTGAGGGGGCACACACCAGTGTAAACCAAATCATAGAAACATATAATAGCTACCTAATTTAAACGAAGAAGTTACCATACAATACTTAAATTCTGTTACACTATAATTAAATGTTTATTTCAGGGAATATTTTTTTCTGCCCTATAGCAGTATCACCCTTTTCAGCACAATCTTTACTTTCTAAATAAAGCACTAGGACATTAACCAGAGTTTTCACAGAAACAGGTACTCCTTTCAAAATATGGCTCACCTCTGGATAAAGATTGAACCTTTTTAACGTATTAATCACCAGAGGATATTCAGTTACTTTATCGTTCATAATCATCCACATTCCATTCCAAAATGATGGTGCTTCAACAATCGTCTTGAAATAGGAATAATAAAGGCCCTAAAAGGATGCACAATTTAGCAGAAATTAATCAAGTAGTACTATTTGTATTGTCCTACATAAGATTTCTTATAATAATGAATTCCACTTAAAAGAAGACTAAGATAAATCTAGTTAGGACAACTACACAATTTTCCAAGCTTCTTCATTTTAATACAATTTCGAAACTCAGTTGTCCAAAACACCCAGAGAACTTCCATTTTGTCTCAAAAGAAGCATGAAATACTATAGAGAAAGGTAGTTAAAAATATCCCATGCAGTTAGGATATACATTTCATTAAAGCGACAGAGAAACTGGTATATGGGGGTAAATGTTCACTTTTTAAATATGTACTTCATTAATAACTTTATAAAGTTATGAAATAGGGTATTTGAAATTGTACATTAGGTCACAATATCATATGTTTAAAATAAAATATTTTTGAAACCTATTTGAAAGGCAACTCAATTTATATAGAAATTGGTACCTCAAAATTAACATATAAATATATGTTACTTAGAAAAAATAACACAAATGCTTTATTTCTGTGGAATTTTGGAAGTTATACAATCAATTATTGCAGACAAGCTTTCAAGACTATAGTGTCGCTTTTTATTTAAATTATTTAGAAGAAAAAAAGATCTAACCATTTCAGTGCGAAAAGCCATCTCTCTTTCCAGCGTCGAGAGGTGAGAAAAATGACGGTCATTTTCAAAAAGAGTTGTAATATGACACCTGCATGAACAAAACCTATTCAGTTTCAATTTTCAGGTTTTGAAACCCGTACTAATTTATACATATGGAAACCTTTAGTAAATATTTTCACATCAGAAAACACGGCAGACCTAATGCAGCTACTGTAATTTAGTCTGGTGTCATACTGATGATTACTTTCCACTCTCTCTCTCTTCACACTATCCATTTTAAGTGAGTTAACTAAAATAAAGAGAACATGAATCTACAAGTGTCTCTTGCAATACCATTAAAAAGGGATTTTTTTAAAAAAAAAAATCAAATACATATATAAATAATATTTTATAATAAATAAAGTGCAAGAGACACGGGGATCAAAAGCTAAGTGCTCTTAAAACTAACAAATCTGACTTCAGGGAAGGAAATTCTGATGTATGTCCACCAAATCAGTGAATGGTTTGGGGGGGGGGGGGGGGGGGAACACCACTTGCCAGAGGAAATATATATTTTGCCTCTGCAAGCATGTGGAGTAGGGTTGGCGCCTTCTCTGGAAGAGAGGGGAGGAGAAAGGAGCAGAACAGACATAACAGCCAAGTGCCTCTATCCCTTTATTAGGAGGAGGGAGGTTGCAAGAGAAACAGCACTAGATATTGTTAGTTTTGGGGGGTTCGTTATAGGTTTTGGTGGGTTGGGTTTTTTTGTGGGTTTTTTTTTTTTTTTTTGGAGGAGGGAAGTAGAAGGGCTAGGGGAGCAGAATGGCTGGAGTTGCTACAGTTTTTTCCACAGACACGTAGAAAAGCAGTCACTGATCCTTTCACAGATATTGCACCTTTAAAAAGTGGGAAGTGGGACTGGAGCTAAGGTCTTAGGAAGAGCGGTAGTAACTGGGAGGCCAAGAGCCTACCGTGCACACAAGAGAGCGAGCATAAGTAGAGAAGCCCTGAAAAGAGGCAAAATGGGATACAGAATTAGTGCATTTATTAATGGGCAGAATTAAATGGGGAACAGAAAGGATTTATTTGGGGGCCCTCAGAACTGACTGGATGATAGGAAGGAGTGCCAGTGAAAATATGCATGGCTTTGAGGGTCACGGCCATATAGGTATTTTTCACCCAGACAGTAGATTTTGCCCTTGAGCAAAAATTTATGGGGAAATCTTTCAAGTTCAGAATCACAAAAACAGAACAATTCTATGTTAAAGACGACAACTTTCACTGAAAGGAAAGATATGAAGATAATGGATAAATTAGTAACCCCGGTAGCTTATCCATCCATCTATATCTATATCTATATATATGACACTTCCCTTTTTTTTAAACATAGTAATATTTCTAATTACTTATATCAACCTTAAGCCAATAAAAATAATCTTACCAGTGTAAAACTCCTGCAAAAGCAGCTGTTTAAATAAAAAAATAAAAATAAAAAAAAAAGGAGGTGAGTGTCTTCATTATCAAACATTTAAACAAACAATGTTCTTTAAAATAATTACAGAACTGTTATTCGGGGCTTGCACACTGCAGACGGTGCTCAACTCAGCTTCTAGGAGAAGGAAGGAATAGGAGTAACCTGGGCTGCTTTTGAGATGAACTTTTTTGGGCAACACTTAAACATCTGGAATTAAATGGACAGTATTAATACATAATACTTCAATACATACTATGGATCATTCAAATGGACCAATTAGAATTCAAGCCATTTATTTCAAATGTCAAGAAAGAAAAATAATAAGCCGTTAAAAGCCAAATGTCACATCTAACTTTGCTGACACAGTACACTTTAATACATCTAAGACAGCAATACTAGTCAGATTTTTAAAAAGTAATATATTCTACAGTTAGCATCTTGTATGTCACAAGATACCTTGCATTGAATAAAAACTAGAAGCAAAACAAAGTCTATATGACTAAAGGAAAAAACAAGCACAATGTCTATGTATTATGTTAAAGAAAAAAGTTACTTACAATTACTATGAAAATCTGTAATGTAAATGGCACAGAAGAACATTCCTTCCCCAGCAAACAAAATGCAGCTAAAAAAACATTTCTCTGACAATAACTTTACATACAGCTTTTAATAAAAACTTAAATGTTTGGTCATATAATTTACACTACACTTTAAATTTATAAATATAAATATACACTTAGAGGAGGCACTGCTAGGCTTGCTGCAAGAACGAGCAAAGTTCCAGCTAGCTGTCACCGGCGGTAAGAAGGAACTGAGAGGGTGGAGGGTCGGCGGGCCCCTATATAGGGGCGCCATGGAGGCACCACTCCAGGGGGCGCCAGGGCCGACCCTACGGACGCTGCTAAGGGAAAATCTTCCGGCTGGCGTGCACATGGCGCACACACACCTGCTTGGAATGCACATGAACAATCACTCGAAGAAGAACTACTAGTTGTGGTAATGTAACCTAGCCTTTAAATCTGCTTCTGTACCAGATCAGTGGAGGATGGCTAATGTAACGCCAATTTATAAAAAAAGCTCTAGAGGCGATACCTGCCATTACAGGCCGGTAAGCCTAACTTCAGTACCAGGCAAACTATAGTAAAGAACAGAACTATCAGACACATAGATGAACACCATTTGTTGGTGAACAGTCAACATGGTTTTTGTAAAGAGAAATCGTGCCCCACCAATCTTCTAGAATTCTTTGAGTGGGTCAACAAGCATATGGACAAGGGTGATCGACTGGATATAGTGTGCGGGAATTTTCAGAAAGCCTTTGACAAGATCCTTCACCAAAGGCTCTGAAGCAAAGTAAGCTGTCATGAAATAAGATGGATCAGTAACTGGTTAAAAGATAGAAAACAAAGGGTAGGAATAAAATGGTCAGTTTTTGGAGTGGAGAGAGGTAAATAGTGGAGTCCCCCAGGGGTCTGTACTGGGACCAGTCCTATTCAACATATTCATAAATATGGGAAAGTGGATAAACAGTGAGGTGGCAAAAATTTGCAGATAATACAAAAACTACTCAATATAGTTGAGTCCAAAGCAGACTGTGAGGAGTTACAAAAGGATCACACAAAACTGGGTGACTGGGCAACAAAATGGCATATGAAATTCAATGTTGATAAAGGCAAAATAATGCACATTGGAAAACATAAAATGATGGGGTCTAAATTAGCTGTTACCATTCAGAAAAGAAATCCTGGAGACACTGTGGATAGTTCTTTGAAAACATCCACTCAATGTACAGTGGCAGTCAAAACAGCTAACAGAATGTTGGGAATCACTAGGACAGGGATAGATAATGAGACAGAAAATATCAGATTGCCTCTATATAAATCCATGGTATGCCCACATCTTGAATGCTGTGTTCAGATCTGGTCACCCAATCTCAAGAAAGATATATTGGAATTGGAAAAGTTTCAGAAAAGGGCAACAAAAAATATTAAGGGTATGGAACAGCTTCCATATGAGAAAAGATTTAAGTCTGGGACTTTTCAGCTTGGAAAAGAGATGACTAAGGGGGGGATAAGATAGAGATTTATAAAATCATGAATGATGTGAAGGAAGTAAATAAGGAAGTGTTATTTACTCCTTCTCATAACACAAGAACTAGGGGTTACCAAATGCAATTAATAGGCAGCAGGTTTAAATCAAACAAAAGGAAGTATTTCTTCACACAATGAAGTCAACTTGTGGAACACTTTGCCAGAGAATGTTGTGAAGGCCAAAATTATAACTGGGTTAAAAAAAGAAAGAAGTTCCTGGGAGATAGGTCCATCAATGGCTATTAGCCAGGATGGGCAGGGATGCTGTCCCTAGTCTCTGTTTGCCAGAAGCTGGGAATAGGTGACAGGGGTAATCAATTGATAATTACCTCTTCTGTTCATTCCCTCTGAACCACCTGGCATTGGCCACTGATGGAAGACAGGATACTGGGTTAGATGGACCTTTGGTCTCACCCAGTATGGCCATTTTTATGTTCTCATGTTGTAGTGCTTTTAATGCTCTTATTTGGAATAATAAAAAACCACCCAAGACTCCATTCTGCAAAGATTTATGCACATGCTAAATCTTTGAGCTCAACAGAACTATTTGGTTGCTTAATGGGACAACACACATGCTTAAAGATAAGCACATATACACATTTTTTCAAGACTTGGAAATAATTATGTAAAAGGACTCTGTTGCAGCACAACTTGAACGGCATACTAGCATTCAAGCACAAACATGTTAGCATACAAGCATAAATATAATTTGGGAATGAAGTACTATTGAAAAGGGAAGCCATTTTTAAGTCACAACATACGGCACAGATCTGCCAGCAGAACAGAGGCTGAGATTTCTTCATACAATAGTCAAAATTTACTGGTAAATGACTTACTTATGCTTTCAAAAATTCAAGAAGGAATATCAATCATATTATAATTTGTTATATTCTGTCTTGAAATTTAATTATGGCAAAAGAATAACAGTTTACTATTTTTCAGGCTAACTATATAGATTTATTGAAAATTAAACTGGGTGAGGTTTTCCAAGAGTTCAGCTCCTAATGAAGCATCTAAATGAAATGACCACATTTTCCAAAGAAAGAACAATTGAAGCTGCAGGATGCTGAGCACTTTTAGAAGTCCTGCAACTTCATTTAGCTGCCTAAATAGGAGCTGAGCTCTTGTGAAAAATCTCACTCTAGTAGTCGGTGCTTAGTACTTTTGAAAGTCTGGCCCTTTCAAGATTAAGATTACAAGATTAAACCAATAACAAAACTGTCAAATGTTTGTCAAATGTTCACATTTTTAATCAGATTTTGAAGTAGACCTCACATATTTACATTAGTATGGATTTATATTCTGTAGGAATAAAAGGGTATGACATTTATACCTGTAGCATTCACTTGTTAGCCCTGGTGTCACGGCCAAATTTCAGATCTGGAAATTATATTCTGCCTGCCTAAATCCCCTCTGAAATTTCAGCTGAACAAAGTATTCGAATCCTGCCTGAAATTGGTTGTTTAGTGTTGCTGTGCCTTTTAAACAACAGTTATGTTTCAGTCTGAGAGGATGCTGCATGTCATTGGTGAATGAAACAATTTATTGACAATTTACTTATCAATTACTTCGTAATAGGAAGAAATTTGCTATTTAAATGTTATTTCTCTAATACAATTTCTTCTAGAACCTAGCCAGGCTTAGGGCTCATCTACACTACCCGCCGGATCGTCGGGCAGCGATCGATCCAGCGGGGGTCAATTTATCACGTCTAGTATAGATGCGATAAATCGACCGCTGAGTGCTCTACCGTCGACTCCGGTACCCCACCAGAATGAGGAGCGCAAGCAGAGTCAACGGGATAGTGTCAGCTGTCGACTTACCACAGTGAGGACACAGCGGTAAGTAGATCTAAGTATGTCAACTTCAGCTACTTTATTCACGCAGCTGAAGTTGTGTATCTTTGATCGCCCCACACAGTAGTGTAAACAAGCCCTTAGGAGATATCAGTAAGATCAAATACCACTATCAGCAATATCACCCAAAATTTTACAATACATTAATCTTATTTTAACACCAAATAACTTCAAAGATATTTAACAGATAAATTTGATATGTTTGTTGATTTTATTTTACTTTTTTTAACTTTAAGATCCAGCATTTTCATTTAACATGGCAAACAGATATTTTACAATCATTTCCAGTAGTGTGCCAATAAATTTAATTTTTGTCTCATAAGCATAATATATCAAGGAATCATCTTCCTCTCATCCTCAAAAATATAATAAATTTGATATTATATCCACATATAGTTAAGTGCTCTTAAGCTAATAATGACAACTAACAAAGTGTTACAGAGATTACGGTATTGAAGCAATAAAGGTCACAAGCTAGGGAATGTCTTGGAAAATAATGACTGACCAGAAGAAAGCTGATGACCCTAAACTTCCATCTTAGGCCATTAATCACAGCCAGTTATTAATTTCTCCTGTAAGTGTCCTGGGACAATGGCGTTACTAGCATATAAATTTAAAAAATTGAAAAATATGGGGCTATTTCCCCATCCTTTTCCAAAGTTACATTCTGAACTCCTATACTAACAGAGTAATAATTTTCGTAAGTTGTTAGAGGAAGAGGATGTTTGTAATGTTAAGAATAAAAAGATTTAACTGACTGAATAATTAGTTATTTATTACAAGTTCCAGATGCATTTCTAAGGAATTATGAAAAATCAGAAGTGTACACACACATGCACATGTTCACACATATGCACACCTGACAAGGCTCCTTCCCCACTCTGAACTTTAGGGTACAGATGTGGGGGCCTGCATGAAAACTTCTAAGCTTAACTACCAGCTTAGATCTGGTCCACTGCCACCACTCCCAATGTGCTAATTCCCTTCCCTGGGTAGCCTTGAGAGAGACTTCACCAATTCCCTGGTGAATACAGATCCAAACCCCTTGGATCTTAAAACAAGGAGAAATTAACCATTCCCCCTCCTCTCTCCCACCAACTCCTGGTGGAGCAAGATCCAACTCCCTTGGATCTAAAAAAACAGGGAAAAATCAATCAGGTTCTTAAAAAGAAGGCTTTTAATTAAAGAAAAAGGTAAAAATCATCTCTGTAAAATCAGGATGGAAAATAACTTTACTGGGTAATCAAACTTAAAGAGCCCAGAGGACCCCCTTCTAGCCTTAGGTTCAAAGTTACAGCAAACAGAGGTAAACACCCTAGTAAAAGGTACATTTACAAGTTGAGAAAACAAAGATAAAACTACCACACCTTGCCTGGCTGTACTTACAAGTTTGAAATATGAGAGACTTGTTCAGAAAAGATTTGGAGAGCCTGGATTGATGTCTGGTCCCTCTTAATCCCAAGAGCGAACTCCCCCAAAACAAAGAGCACAAACAAAAGCCTTCCCCCCCACCAAGATTTGAAAGTATCTTGTCCCCTTATTGGTCCTTTGGGTCAGGTGTCCGCCAGGTTACCTGAGCTTCTTAACCCTTTACAGGTAAAAGGATTTTGGAGTCTCTGGCCAGGAGGGATTTTATAGTATTGTACACAGGAGGGCTGTTACCCCTTCCCTTTATAGTTATGACAACACCTAATAAAAAGTAACAAGTATCAGTCGAATACTAATACATTTGTTTTGAAATTTGCATTTTAGCTTGCATAAAGGATTTTATTGTTGGCTTAACTGTGCTCTCATTTAAGTCAACACTAAACATTATTGAAAAGCCCATCCTAGATATTTATTTGTGAGAGTGAGTGAGTGGTGCACGGGCACCAGAGACACACACACACAATGCAACAGGAATGATAACTATCATGCAAAGAAGCATCAGGGTTTTTTTCCCCCCTCAATTACATTCCAGACAAACTCAGATATAGTACATTTTTATAAAGCAGTGAGACCTTAAGAATTGTTATGTTTGTCTGCTTACCTAATATAAAAGTGAACCATATCTTGCTATCTGCTCTCATGATGAAGGCCCCTTTTTCTTCAATAAATACTATAAAAAGAAAATAACTGTCTTAGCAGTATTTAGATTTAAACTTCAAACAATTAAAAGCAATTTCATTTAAAGAGACTGTTCGCAGGCTGCACTATTAATATTCTATAGCCACCTTGACTTGACTTCAAAACAGCTGAGATAAACTGGGCACAAAGTGAATAAACATATTTAAAAACAAAAATCAAGGTGACTACAATAAATATTTTATTTCTACAGAGTTCATGAGAAGTGTTTCTAAAGACATTTTGGACAAAAGAGAGAGTACTTAACAAAATAGATTTACATTTGAATTGTCCAACTTTGAAGCATAAAGTTCTGACTTTTTTTCTTTTGCACCAATCAATCCCCCAGTCCTTTTATCAAGGCACCTGTCAAGTGCCAGGTAGATTATCCCAATAGTAATGAAGCTAAATAAAATTAACATTTTTTTAAAGATGTAGTTTCTGATGCTGCATAAATGGTGTGTAATGTCCTGTATTGTTTTTATAAAAACCTTCAACATTATAAGGTTTTTTTCTCCTGCTTCCTGGCTGCTACTTTCAGGGTCCTTTCTCCTTGGGCAATTGACTCTTACAGAGTTGGAACAGTGAAACTGACCCCACGCATCTGACTGCTGTCAACTCCAGTTAAATATACGGGGGAGGAATAGAAAGAAACACCCCCCCCCCTACTTTTTCAATTAGAGAGTTACCCTGAAACACAATTTCCAGGCAAATTGGTTTCCAACCTGCCAGCGGCCCTCGGACAGCGGGGAGCGCTCCCCGAGCAGGGCATGGGGGGTGTTAAAGCCTCTCCTGCCCCAGGGGCTGCGCTGCCTGCCAGGGAGGGGGGCTGCGTGTGTCTGTGGCAGCATCGGCCCAGCAGCACCCCAGTGTGCTGGGGACAGGAGCACGGAGACGTGGCTGGGAGAGGGGCCTCGGGGCTGATGCTCCCTGAGGGGAGCAAATCCCGTTAACCCCCCTTCCCAACGGGGGCACAAGATGGAAGCGGCTTTGTGCACAGTCCTCCGCGGTCCCGCTCACCTTGGAGCCCGTGTCTCCAGCCCTGAGGCGACCCCTCTTGGCCCAGGCCCAGCAATTCCCTCACCCTCTGGGCCAGGGGGCCGCTGGGTTTCTGGGGCTCGCTCTTGGCCCCTTTCCTCCCGGTTCCTCCCTTCCGCATGGCGCCGGCCCCGCAGGACAGCTGCCTGCCCGGCTGCTTTTGCTGCAGCCCGCGGCCGCTCCTGGGGCTCGCTCCGGGCTGGGGCGCCCCAGCGGCTTGGGGCGGGGGCGGCTGAGCGCCGGGGGGCTTGAGCGCCGACTCTTTGTGTCTGCCTCGGGTTTGCACGACCATCTCCGCATAGTCTCCGCTAGCGGGGGTGGGGGCGGGGCCGGGGAAGGGCAACGCCCCGGGGCGGTCACACTCCGCTCTGCCCTGCCGGATCTCAATGGGTGGTGCTGCTGCTGGCCCGGGCCGCGCCGCCTGCTCCGCCCCGCAGGCCACGTGGAGCAGGCGGGGCGCCGGAGCCGAGTCTAGCTCCCTCCCCGGCAACGGGCACCGGGCGTTCTGCTGGTAACTGTCACAGCAACGGCCGGACGCCGGGCCCGCGCGCCACCCTCGAGACCAACGGCTCTGCCCCCGCCTTCCTCTCGCTCCTCTGACCCTGACAGCCGCCCTCCCCCAGTGCGGCTCTGCCTGCCCTCGCCCCGCTGCTCCCCTGAGCCTCCGGCCTCTCCCATGCTGCTGGGAAGCTTGTCCTGGTCCCCTTGATCCCCTCCTCGGGGCTGCCCCTCTTGCGTCGCCTCCCTTCCTGCCCCACACCGCTTCCTGGCTCCCTCTTGCTTGGTTGATTTCGTTAAAACCTTTTCTTTAATTCAATAAAGTGCTCGAGCTGGAGCTGAACGGTCGGGGCTTTGGGTTGCTTTTAAATGTCAGCTGGGGCGGGGAGTCGCGCTTCGTTCCCTGGAGCTAAATTGTCAATCGCTCCCCAGCCACAGGAGATGGCTCCCCTGGCCCTCCGCTGTGTGGCTGGCTGTGGTTTACGTGATCATTTGTTACAGCGATTGCAACAGCCTAGTTATGTCCGCCCACAGCTTTGAGAGCTTTGTGTGGTTTCTGAGGGCCAGAGGCTCAACTGGGGCAAATATGCAGTCAATAGAGGCTTCACCAGCTAAGGATTTGGACCAGGATTTAAAGTCTCTGGCTTTCATGACAAAGGATGTGATGATTATTATTATTTTGCAAATGGGTTTCAGTGAATCATTTTAAGCTTCTCTCTCTCTTAAAAAAAATCCCACTCATGCACATTGTCACATCTAGGGAACGCTTGATAGTGTGTACTGTGCTGTAGGACTGGGACACTTGTTGGGGTACCAGAAGACTGTATTAAAGAATTTCTGAGTTCTAGGCTTTTTTACTAAGCAGTCTGACTCCTTCATTTTATAGGGGATGGAGAGAATAGCATAATAGCAGCACACCGTATAATTGATTGCCTGGAAACATGGATAATCCTACATATTCTCTGTCTGGTTGCTGTGTATGTGTACCTCTGGAACCTGAAATACTATTTCACAACTTTCTAAATCAGTCTTCTTAAGTAAATCACAACAGCTATCACTGCACCTCCTACACCAATAATTACAATTACTAAGAATTACAATTCCTCTTTCTCCAGAGGCGCAAATACAGCACTACTGTGACAGGAGACTGTGTTGCAGCAGAACTCTTTCTCCATCCCAATTGTGCTTATTTGGCCAGGGACTACTGAGGCCAAATAGTATCAGATCTGAAAGCAATGTTAAAATATATATTGTTTAATTTACATTTTTAGAATGATTAACTAGAACACAGGGCAGGGCCTCCACCCACAAATACATATCCTTTTACTGTAGCTTTTCCTCCAGATTCCTTTCATTGTTTTTCTCTGACCCTTGGTTATTGTCTGTCCTGTAACTTATGTCTACTCCAACCACTTACACTCCTTGGTCCTGTTCTGTATGTTATCTCTGTTCAGCCTATCTTCTGGTCCCCTTTCTCACTCTGTACTATATCCTTCTGCTTCTCGGTTTTCTAGTCTTCTGAATTTTCTCTGCATTTGTCTTTCCTCTTGATTCTCTTCCTACATTGTTCTTGGGTTCCTGCACTTCTCTCCTTCCACATCAGCAGTTTTGCAACCAGCAAGTAGCTCAGTTGAACTGTAGGGAGGAGCAGACTCCTGCGGGAGTTCCTAGGTCAGGTGATAGAGACCAGTTTATATACGACTGACTAGGTCAAAGGAAAAAGGACATGTCTGATACATTGACATTGTGCTATTCTGAAGAATTAAAACTGAAGTCCTGGAAAAAAAAGGGGGGACTGGAATATTCTGGCTGGAGGGTGTTCTGGTGCGCAGTCAGCCTGCTGGCACACATTCACTCTCACTATTCCATCGGTTTGTAATGGGAGCCAGATTTTTTTAAATAAAGTAGCAGCCATCTGTCGATAGATCTAATCACAATTATTATTTTAAAAGAGACAGGAGAGAGATGCAATCTTATGTATATTTGTGACAGCAGAGATCAGAACACTCTTACATATTCACCTGAGGTTCAATTCTCCCCCTCAGGATACAAATAACTCCCGTTTAAATCAATTGGAATTGTTCATATCCTGAAGGGGGGGAAATGGCCCAAGAGCACCCCCCCCCCCCCTTTCCCCCCCCCCCCCCCCCCGGCTCCCCACCCAGGGCAGGTGGAGGGTCCACAGCTCCCCACAGCTGCCAGGGCAGCTCTTACTATGGCCCAGCTGCAGCTCTTTGGCCCCCAAGGCTCCATCCCCAGGCTGGAAGCCGGAGCCAGGTCAAGGTTTGGAATTAACTACCAAGGGAAATGGTGGATTCTCCATATCTTGATGTCTTCATATCAAAACTGGATGCCTTTCTGGAAATTTTGCTTTAGTCATACAAGTTCTTGGGCTTAATACAGGAGTAACAGGGTGAAATTGTATTGCCTGTGATATACAGGAGCTCAGATTAGATGATCTGATGGTCCCTTCTGGCCTTAAATTCTATGAATCTATGAGTGATAGGTTAAACCTACCCAAATATCTTGTAATATCCTTAATAATAATAACAAAGATGGCTGTACCCATTTTACCTGGCTTAGAAGTTGAGTGGTCCCTAGTTCTTCTGTGTGAGGATCCTCCACCCAGCTGTGCTCTTCCTGATCCAGACTTCCAACTTTTTGAAACCGGAGCTGCAAGAACAATTCATCTGTGGGTTGCAGCTGATGTTTTTCTCAATTAATGAGTAAATAAAACAGGCTTAACCTTTAGCATGAAAATCCACTGAGTCAGAGATTTTCCAGTTATTATAGAATTTAGATCAAATTCTTCCCAGGTGCAACCACACTGATACCAATGGAGAGTTATACCAGGAATGAATTTAGTCCATTGTATTCAAGAAAAGAGTAACTAGGGAAAATACCACTTACTGTATTTCCCTGTATTAGGGAAAGTACCATCAGCATCTTTCCCTGGAGGGTAAATCCCCCTCTTGATTTACTACTGCAAGTGTAATTTGCACCCTAACCTGTAGTAGTAAATCAAGTCTAATGGATGAAAGCAGGAAATGAAAGTGACTGAAATACTTGTCAATGAATTTTCTACATTTAAGCTCTTTGTATATTCAAATATTATTTAGTGTCAGATTTTCAGGGTTTGAATGGATCTGTGAGTGCATTAAGTATTCAAATTTGTAGAAATGTCATGCTCTACTAGCCTAAAGAAGAGCTCTGTGTAGCTCTAAAGCTTGTCTCTTTCGCCAGCATAAGTTGGTCCAATAAAAGATATTAGCTCACCCACCGTCTTTCTAATGCTCAACTAACACCATTAAAACCTGTTCTTAATAATAGTCAGCTTGGTAAAATTGTATTCACATTAAGCAGATATAACCAGCAGACTCAAGGCAATTGTATATAATGATCCACAATGGGGAATTGTGCAAGTTACAGCTAGACTCTAGAGATCTGAGCAAGATGACATTTTAGTCATTCTTCTATACAGTCTACATTGAGCAGCACCTGTACTGTACTGCTACTGTACCTGAGCCAATGCCCGCTGCATCTTATTGTCTTGAAATGGCTTACCATTCATTACATGTTTTTTCTGGGATTTCCAAGAAGTAATTTTGGATGGGACCTCTGTTTTATCCAAAGCTGATTTTTTTTTAAAAGTGATTCCAGCAAATACAAATGGTCCAAAAGGCTAATAAGAGCCACATGGTCCTTTTGCTAAGGTGATTTCAAAACAATTTTAACTATAAACATCGAACAACGTACCTAGAATAAGGGGAAACGCCCTTGTCCCTTCACTCACTTACACCAGCACAAATCAGGAGGAACTCCATTTAAGTCATCGAGTAGCTTCACTGAGCTTCATTGAAGCTCCGTGGATGTAAAAGATAAGAAGATAAAATTATTATTATTTATCTGATCTGTGGGGGTTACTGGTGACCCTAAAATTAAGATTGGGACTCGAATGTGCTAGGCACTGTACATCATAAGACATAGTCCATACCCTAAACGGCTTACAATCTATAATAAACAAGAAACCAACAAAAAGATGCAGAGCAGGATACAACATGCAAGTAAAGTAGTCAGGGTGTATCACAGTTCAGGGCAACTGCACCTGTGTTTCCCCTCGGTGGGCCAGCAAGGGCACCCCCTCTAGGCTTCCAACTCCTCAACTGTTACCTTTCTTGGCACTTCACTCCCTTCTGGCCAGGGTATTTCCAGCCTGCACAATTCCCTGACCTCATCGTGTCATTTCCAGCAGAGAGACAGGCTATGCAAGCACACCCGCTTGCTTTCTCTTCAGAAACTGATAACAGAGGGATTGTCAACAGTTATAAATACCACACAGTTCTTTCTATACAAGCCTATTTTATTAAGGTAAAAGCTCTCCAGAGACAACATATTAAAAACAACAAAAGACCTACATGCTAATAAGCCTACCAGAGATCACTCCAACCCTAACATGGGCTCTGGCTGGAACAGTCCTTCCAAACCCCTCTCAAGAGGTTTTTTTTGTGGTCACAAGTTCATCATAGCCACAGCTTTGAACAAGCACCCAGTCTTATCGGCCTCTGTAGGGCAAATCCTTCCAACCCTTCTCTAAGGATTAGGGCCATCCGTGGACCAGAGGTCTCGTCCATTTGCTGGATCAAGAAGGTGGCCCTGAACCAGTTTAATACCATGCTATTTATCCAAATATCCTTTCTTTATCTGTTGGTCCCTGGAGAATCCAGTTTGAACTAATATATGCACACCTCTCTGGGGGTGGGAAGTAACTTCAAAGCGTTGATACTGGAGGAATTACATTAGCAGCCCCTTCTTA